GGGTTCCCTAAGTTCAACTTTTATCTTTGACAACACCTGGAATTGGCCCACTACTGTCAGGCAGAGCCCACTATTTTGACAATTATCAAACCCAGGACAAAGAGCTGCTTATTTAGCATATCAAAGTGCACCTGGCCTCCAGGTTGCTTCAGTCCCTACCTGTTACAGGATATATGGCTGGCACACTCAGTCCTGTGCCCTGAAGTTGAGAGGCTCAGACCCGACCTCCTCTCCCCCAAAAACCATCAGTCCCAGGAACTAGGCTATAGGTCACCAATTTCAGGAACAAGACCATAAAATTCCCAACCCAAGGAATAGCCTGAGGATAACCACAAGAATGGGAAGGTATCTTAGCTCAGGGTGGGGCATCCGTGCTGGGCAGCCCACCGACCTCATGGAACAGTCATGGCACAGAAAATACCCAACATTCCTGAGGGCTATAGAGAGTTCGCTCAATATTAGTTACTGTTAGCCCACCACTTTGTAACAAGCTTGCCCTTGCTGAATATCACCCAATTATGTAACTACTAACCTGGAAATTCCCCAGTCCTTGCTCAAAACCCAATAAAAACCCTCCTCCCTCTAAGCTCAGGACTCTACACCTAACTACTGTGCCAGTGACGGTGAAGGCCCAAGCTCAAGCTTGTAATAAAGAAAGACCCTAATGCGTTTGCATTGGAATTGGCTTCTTGGTAGTCTCTGCGGTCTGCAAGACTTGGGCATAACAAAATCTCCAGCCCATTGGCTGGGCAGGCTGGCGTTCTCCCTGAGATGCTCTTCTCTATATAATCCAGACATTTTGGTTACCTGCCCTTTTTTGTACCTTTGGTCCCCCCAACCACTGTACTTGGTTCCCTCTCTCCTTTCCCTTCCTCTCCCTTCCCACAAGGCTCAGGGTTATGTGTCTGCTTCTGGCTACTATGCTCTCCCACAATCTATAATAAACTTCTTCACCATAACTAGGAGCAGTCATGTCCTTTCCTTTTTTTTTTTAATTCAGGGACACGAGGCACAGGACAATCCTATCCTTCGAACTCAATTAAGATCCTTACCCCGTGATTTTATCTGATCCATAGAATGAGTCAGAAATACCCTAGATTACGGCCACCAGAATCCTGAGGACCCGTTTACATTGTTCGCTCTTGCCCACATTTAAAACAAGGTTGTTACCGTTGAGAGTCTGATGCTTTTATTTTTTATGTCCACTGGTGTTTACCCTTGTGTCTGTGTGATATGGTTTCTGTGTGCAGGTGTTAGATTCCATGTGGGTCCTGAGAAATGAACCTGGGTCCTAGAAAGAACAGCCAGTGTTCCTAACCATTGAGCCATCTCTCCAGTCTTGATGCTTCTGTTTTCTAAGACAGGGTCTCTAATATGGTCTCAGGTGCCTTTGAACTCAAGATCCTTTTACTCCACCCTCCCAAGGGCTTGCACTAACATTTTGAACCTGATATTAAAACCATTACTAACATAGTGTCAGAGGCCTCAAAATATAAAAACATGTAATTTAATGCCAAGACAAGGTTTCTCTGTCTAGCCTTGGCTGTCCTGGAAGTCACTCTGTAGTTCAGGTTGGCCTTGAACTTGCAGAGATCCCTCTGCTTCTGCCTCCCCAGTGCTGGGATTAAAGACGTGTACCATCACTGCCCAACCTTTAATGCATTATTTTTAAAGTAGCTGTTTATACCCATCATGGGAGTGGATAACTTTGATAAAGAGTAGATCGCAACAGAGCAACAGAGGTAGCCATGGAAAATGTGCCGACAATGGACAAAATTCTGAATTAATCAAATGTCTTATCTTTTTCACCTAATTCATGATTTCCATGAGGTGTCTTCGATTCTCTGAGAATATATTTTGCTTTTTACTATGTACATGGCATATATAACTCTTAATGGATACCAGGTTCAGGACATGATTTATTGAAAGTTTTTTATTCTTTTAAAAAATATACATTTTTATGTGTATGACGGTTTCTCCTGTACTTGGTAGTTCACCACAGGCATGCAGAGCCCGTAGATGCCAGAAAAAGGAGTCAGATCTCCTGGAACTGTGGTTACAGACGGTTGTAAACTACTACGTGGCTGCAACTGAACCCAGGTCCTCTGCAGGAGACCCTAACGCAATCAATCAATTCAAATAAAAGAGTGAACAACTGCACCAAGGAAAAGGAGAAAAGGAAAAAGGAGATTCAGTACGGAGAGAGAAGGGGAAGAAAAGAAACTTCTAGGTGTTATCGTGGCAGACTGAGTATATCTGAGTGCATTTATAAATTCCCACTTCATATTTTCTTCGTGGATTATAGCTGATAATAGCTGTTTAAAAACAATTTTTTTTAGGTTTACTTTATTCACACGTTTGCTTTATCTGTGTACGACCTTGTGATAAGCCTCCATGTGGGTGCTGAGAATCAAGGTGCTGGGTCCTTTGCAAGAACAATGCTCTTCACTACTGAACCAACTCTCCAGCCCATGATAGCTGTTTAATCTTTGATTCTATGCTACAGTCTTTCCAATTATCTTTCTCTGTCTTCTCAAATATGTAGGATCCTTGAAATTATGGCAAGATTCTAACTTGAAACAATGTGACTAAGGGAAACAAAGGAAAAGGAACATGAAGGAAACTGTTCTAACAGGAACTGTCAGGAGTGGTGGCCTATCAGGCCTTTCACCCCAGCACTTGGGAGGCAGAGGCAGGTGATCTCTATGAGTGTGAGGCCGGCCTGGTCTACAGAGTGAGTTCCATGACAGCCAGGGCTATACAGAGAAACCATGTCCCGGAAGGAAAAAAACGAAAACAAAAACAAAACCCACCAGGGAACAAACAAACAAACAAAACACACACCATCAAGACTAATATCCTTAGGACACAGAATGAACCATATTCTCAAAAAGAACAAGGTGCTACTTAAAAAGCTTGAATTCCAAAGTTTGGTTAACTACATAAGGGAAAATAGAGGGAATCCCAATCTAGTCAGTTCTACAGCAGTGATACTTGGCCTTGAAAGCAGTCATTCTACTCAGTAGGATGGACTCAGCAAACAAATAATTTGCAGAAAGCAAAATAAACAAATTATAACTAAGGTACTTGTCAGTTATAAAAAGACAAAAATATTTAAAAGGTTATTAGACTATAATCAATATATACTAAATATGAATTTTAAAAAACACTTCAATTGTTATCCTTTAGAGATACTGCCTCATGTGGTTCAGGCTAGACTTGAACTTCTGATCCTGACTCCACATCCCAAGTGCTGGTACTATAGGTGTGGAGCAGCTCAAGCTGTATAGTTAAATGACAGAGTCCCATTGTGGGGGTGAAGGGAAGGCGTGTGAGAAAGCACAATCTTCCAAAGTAAGGTAATATCTACAGCTGAAAATGAAAAATACAAAAGGGAGGGTAAGCAGAAGAGGCAATGTGGTCAAGGGTCTGGAGTTCAGGTGCCCAGGTTTTATGAATTAGAACCTGTAATAAGCTGTCACTCACTTCATCTGCACCTGAATGAGTTCTCGGTCTCTGCAGTAAACCTACTTGACAACAAGCTTAAACTTAGCATAGTATTGGTTATCTGGTATACATTAAGTGCTTAAATTACCAATGTTAAGAGTTTGCTGATTGGAAATGTTGAAGTAAAAAGCAGAGAAATGACTAAAAGTTAAAAGAAAAAGCAGGAAATGTGAATGAGAGGTAGGTGGGATGAGAAAGAAATCTAGTATTTTCCTTATTATCTGGAAGCAGCACTGTCCAATGCAAGCCACTCTGTGATTTTAAATGTTCCTACATTCAAAAAATTAAAAAGAAACAAGAAAATTTAATTTTAATAATGTTTTATTTAATTCTATGTATCCAAAATATTATCATTTGAAACACATAATGCTTATGAACAAATTGAGATTTTAACATTCTTTTGCTTTGAATAGTACCTGAAATTCAACATGTTTGCACATATATAGCATATCTGCATTCGGACGAGAACTGTTCAACCCTAAGTGGCTGGTGGCTATGATACTGGACAGTGTGCCTACGACAGTAATTGGTCCTGAAAAACAAGACTTTTCCTAAGTGGGTGACAATACAGCAATAGCCACTATGTGTTTACTAATGGAAGAGACTGCCACAGTAGTCTAGCCAAAACAAAAAGTATCTCAATGTCATCAGCCTTCATAGTCAATTACCAATTTACAGAAATAAAAAGGAAAACACACACTAAATGGCAAGCTAAAGATGCTCACAGAACAATTTAGGCTATGGGAAACTTAATAGATGAACAAATGAAAACAGGGAATTTTATTCTTAACATGGAGGAAGACTCCGTGAATCTAAAACTAAAAGGATTTCTAAATGGACACATAGAATGTTCTGCAACTTTCAGGGAATTGAGAATTTTAGCATAATACTTGGTAATTATTTGACCTATTACAAGTATGAAATACTAATGAATGATATTATCTGAAAATTTATTCAAATTAATATGCAAACTGAAGACTAATGTGGAAGTTTAAATAAGGTGATACTGGCTATGAATCAGTAATTGCTGAGGCCAGATCATATACACATGGAGGGTTATTACAATGCTCTGTCAGCTCTTGTCAATTTTTAATTTTCCACCATGAGTGACTGCAAAGAAAACTCGGTTTAAAAACGCTTGAAGATAAACTACAGTTAATGACTGCAATGGGCAATCACCAAGCATCCAAGCTAAGCTCAGGTTAACCCCTTTAGGCCTGGGAGAGCTCAGATTGTTTTCTTATTCTTACACAACCTTAGGAGGACTACATCGGTACCAATGCATTGTATCCTTACCAGCACTGATACTCTCCATAGGGAAGCAGGACTTTCCTTACAATCTATTCATAAACTATACAAAATCAGCCCTTTACAGAGCATAGGGCTGTAATTTAATGCTCAGAAAGACGGTCAGAAAACCTAAGTCAAACTTAGCGACATGAACTCAGGACAGGAATTAATATAGCTGAAGAACTTAACTAGGAAGCTAACAGTAATTTTTTTCATGATTTATTTTTTTTAAAAGTGCGAAACTATACAATAATATCCCATTATTCCAAGTTATTTATCATTCTTCTTTCAAGTCTGAAAAAGAGTTCATCTTTGAAGTTCCAGAGACAGCAGTCCCACAGACACATTTATCTGAAATCGACAGCCACAAGCACTAATAATGGCAGTGTCTCCCTGACCTGAAACCTGGCGAGGCTCTTGACTCAGAATACTTGCTGTGCATGTCAGCTCACACTAAAACACAAACTTAAACTGGGTGTGTGTGTCGCATAAAAATTTTCAGGACAGATTAAAGATTAACATTAAAATTTCACTGAAGTTCAACTTAATTGTTAAATCAAATTAAATACTTTTTAAAGATTTTTTTTTTTTTTTTAATTTTTGAGACAGGGCTTATCTGTGTAGCCTTGGCTATCCTGGACTTGCTTTGTACACCAGGCTGACCTCCAACTCTGAGCGATCCAATCAAATTAAACTCTTAAATGCATACTAACTATAATAACTTTTTCAGGTTTCCCAGCATTTCAAAACTGCTAATCAGTCAATATAACCTTTAAAATGTCAAAGTATGAATATATGTTGCACTTTTCTGACAGGCTGGGCTAGTATCGTCTGTGATGATATAAAAAGTATTGAATAAAACATTTTAAAATCTGTAAGTGCTTGATTAATATCCCTCAAATTATAATTATCATTCCTAAAAACCTTTTAGGATTTTCTAAGATTTTGTTTCTTAGTTTAAATTTTTAAATTTCAACTGGGTGGGGGGAACTTTTACTGACTTTTTCTGTCCTTTTTTTGGTCCCTCAATGTCCAAAGAGAATTTTAAACAAATGACATTCCATGTTTCCTGCCTTAATAAAAAATATGTATTATTAATGAAAAAACCAATTATGCTAATCAAAAAACAGTATTAGTGTGTGTCTATATGTGTGTATGTGAGAGAGAGGTTAACTCTGAAATGTTTATGAATGGCTATAGGTCCCCTAGAGCCTTATTAAATTTTATAAATTTTATAATTAAGATTTAATAAATTACACACTAGAATCAATTATGTAAAGAAAACTTATTTTGTGAAAATTAAGTCAATTCCCAATATGCTTGACAGAAACAAGCTATTCGTTTGCATCTGATTTCCAATGAAGACATTACTCAAACTGTCCAATGCTTTACTTCCAAGTGGTCCACTACAGGGTTCTTCAGGGTGTTTTAAGATTGGCTGTAGCTAGAGTTCTGACTTCCATTTGGACCCTGCTCTCCTTCACTGTTCAAATGGGGAAGAAAGAAATTTGATGCCAATTAAAAGATTCATTTTCCAATACCCTGCTAGTACTACTAATTTCTGAAGTTCATTATTCTGTGGAACAAATTCTACAAAACAAAAACATTCCTGATTATAAAGCACAGGTGTAGAAAAATTAAAATCCAGAAAACTAACAGTTGGTTTTATGTTTTTATTCTTCTGTAACTTTCCACCCTCATACATAGCAAGCAGTCTGGAAGTTAGTGTCCATATACATTCAAAGATTTAAGTTAGAGTTTGGGATTCCACTATTATTACAGGTATCACTCAACATAGAGATTACAACGTCTTCTGAACAAATTAAATCTAACATGTAAAACTCTTTTTCTACTCTCTAGGAAAAGCCAATGTGTCTTTCAAAAAAAAAAAAAAAAGAAAAAAAAACCTGTTGTCCAATGGCATAATAAAATCATATGGTAATGATAACAAACTTTTTTAGACATCAAAAATATGGTAATTTCCTGGAAAAATGCTGAATATTAAAATAAAAATAACTAAAGCTGAAAATACCAGTAACTGTGACAACAGGAGAGTGCCTGATCTTGTCCATCATCATCTTGCAGCTTCAGGCCCTGCCATTAGTGGAGAGTCACTCAGGGAGCCTCTGTAAAAACGCATCCAAAGGCAGCTGTTTGAATGACTGCCTCAAGCAGCTCCTCGCAACACGTATGCACCATTGTCTTCTCAATCGTAACATCACTGTAAGCAGCAGCAGTCTAGAAATGCATCGTAGTGCCCTATGACCTTTCTAAGTAAAACTACACTCAGAGCATTTATCTTCCTTCTCCACCTTTCTCTCTTTGAATGATCTGACACAGAGAGGGCAGAGAGCCACTTAGTCAAGTGACCAGATTCATCTAAACAACAAAAACTTCTTAGCACAGGAGGTTCTTCTTTGGCAAAATAACATGTTAATCTGTGCTATGGATCATAGGATCGCTCAGAAGCTAAAATTTACTATCTGTAGCATATCAGATCATGAAAATGGTTACTGATACGTATAAAATAGGTGAATAATCATTACTGAAGGGAGAGGAATGACAGTCAAATGGAAAGAATTACTTTCAAGCTTTTTATCTCTGAACTGCAAACGTTTGTCTAAGGTAGCTCCATTTCTGTACAGAATGTGGCTATATGTTGAGGGATACCTGTAATAGACCTCCATTGCCCAGGAAAAAGTTACTAGATAGAAGAATTTATCTTAAAACTGAGACATTCTCAATTTATCAAGACAGAAGTTACATTAACAGAAATCAAGAAATCTTAGTATAAGTTTAAGAGAAAAGATAAAACATAACATTCTAAGAAAATGGTAACTGAGTATACTATAGAATGAAAATAAATTAGTAATTAAGTTGAAAATGTACCTGTTTGGAGGTGGTTTTGGTTTTGGCATCTTACTAAGAATAGTTGCCATCTCTTTTCTCTCATCAAAATTCTTCCACTGCTCATATAGTTTTAAAATAACCCTGATTATTTCCAAAATCTAGAAGAAAATATTTGAAAAGATTTCAGCAGCAAAAATGAGCAACATGTTAGTATGCAAAGAACACACATCCTGTTAGTATGTAAAGAACACACATGATGCAGGGCGTGGTGACACACGTCTCAATCCCAGAACTTGGGCGGGAGAGGCAGGTGGATTTCTATGCATTGCAGGCTAGCCTGATCTACACAGCAAGTTTCAGGCGAGGCAGGGCTACAGAGTGAGAGCATGACTTCAAACATAGAGGAGAGTACCTTCTCCATGTCCACAGAAAGCTCCGCAAACCACTGCCTCGCGTCTTTCTGCTGCACAACACAGGCTACATGTAGGCAGGCTAGAGACAAAATCGGAGACATTGTTCAAATTTAATTGCACACAGTCTGAGAACTGTACATTTTCATAAAGACTGCCTTAGTTTCCAATACTAACTTTTAAATGTGTAGCTTCAATGTTGAGACACACACAATATTGTGCATCAACATTTAATAGAAGGTTTATCAGTTTGCTGCCACAGAACCAAATGGGTAGCTATAGGCGGTCCTTGCCACACTGTCTTCACAGGGTACAGTCACAGTAGGGGTGCCCCGAGGGCACACCTGCCACAAGAGAAACCAACTCCAACCAAGACGTTAGGACAGGGAAAATCACCTGTCAACACTAGTGCCGTGAGTCAAATCACACCCACAGCTCAATGACAGAAAACAAAGCCCCACCTCACTAATGCACTGCTAAATCTCAGAACTGTTTGTTGAATGTACAATCGTTCTGTACCCACTGGGGAGAGAGCTGGGGAAACCAGAAATGTTAATCAAGCAGGTTATCTCCTCAGAGGAGGAAATAAAATATCTGCATTCAGAGGGGCTGGAGAGATGGCTCTTCAGTAAAGAGTACTGGCTGCTCTTCCAGAGTACCCAGGTTCAATTCCTAGCGTCTACACGTCAGCTCACAACTGTCTATAGCTCCAGTTTCAGGGGATCTGACACTCTCACACAGGCATACATACAAGCAAAACACTAATATACTAATATTAAAACAAAACACTAAACACTAATATTAGAAAAATAAACAAATCATTAGGCGAAAACCACTTGCATTCCATCCTGAGTTCAATTCCCAGCAACCATGTGGTTGCTCATAGCCATCTATAACGGAATCTGATTCCCTCTTCTGGTGTGCATGAAAACAGAGCACTCAAATACAAACACAAATGAATAAATCTTGAAAAAATTACTTTAAATGAACTAAGAATAAAAAACAAAACAAAAAAAAAAACCTTACCAAAAAAAGGGGAAGGGAGGAAAAGAATGCTAATCTGTGACAGTTGCAGTGTGTATTACTGAATACTAATCCATATTCATGGATTAGTCTACTACTTCATAAAAACATAAATTATAATGAGGTGAAATTTATTTTAAGATGACCTAAATAGGCAAAGACAGTTTAACCAATAAAGGCATACCAAATTTACATACCTAAAGCTATCATGAAAGGAGGATACAGCAGACAAAGATCTGTCCTGTAGGTATCATTCACTATCCTCCTGTAGAAATGTAAATCTTATTACTAAAAGCATAACTACTTTACTGACTATGTAACTTCTCCCACAGAGAGCCAGATTTCCCATCGTTGTGCACTTACATCCCTGTTCGATTACTGAGCACAGCCACAAAAATGAAACATAGAGGCAAAACAAGGACTTCATGAATGTGACAACAAAGAGATATACATTACTGAATAAAAACAAAAATTCATGTATTAGTGAGTATATTTTCAATTTTGGGACTTCACAACAAATTATGTAAAATAAAAATTGTTTACATTTTAAAAAATCAAAAGTAAACTGGGTTTTGTTGAATCCAATCAAAAAGTATTATTTTAAAAATAAACGTTACTTTTCATGTAAAGTCTGTTTTTCATACAATATATTTAGCAGGTATACTTATCAAATAGGTAATCCAAGATATGTATGGCTTCATAACTTATACCACTATAGCTGCTAAAATTTAACAAGCAGAGTTTGCACTTCACGATGCTAAACCACACACTCAGTTGTCAGTGCTCCTTGTAGTCCTTATGAGCAACTTCGGTTTTAGTTACCATGCAAGGGGAAGCAGCACGTCCTCTTGGCCCATGTCCTGCACATACTGGAGCAAAGGTCTATAAGGATGATAAACTATCAAGCAACAATCCTAGAAACAGGTTTAAAATATGTATACATAAATAGAGTCATTACAAGATAAAACGGTATCACTTTCCAATGACTTGTTCTCTGTATTTCAAATTAATTTCTCTTTCCTATACTTGCTTCCTTTTTTTCTCTTACTCAAGTATGACCCCAAGCTACTGCAATAGTGAGGGCAGTACTCTCCCTGGACTGGACCTTGGTACATCAGTTGGCACTCAGTCAGCACCCAATCTTCCCCCTAGAGACTCAAAGTGTCACATCCGTAACACACTAGCATGTAAATCCATAATTCTCAACTAGAGGAGCAAAATTATGCCAAAGACACAATCTATCTCTAACTCTGCACACACACACAAACTGTGCACATAACTTACAATGGTTTAATGTCCTGGCAATTTGCTTGCAATCCTTAGTATAGTTACAGTAAAATAAAAATTTTCCAGTCCAAGTAAGAGAAATTATTTTACAGGCTTTAGAAAGGTGGTAATGCTTATACTTTTATAATTTTGCTATAACATATCAATTTAACTTCCTTGCAGTACCATTCATTAAGTTTTACTGTATTATTAAAAGATATACATACCATTAATTCTAAAAGGTAAAATTCACATTCTAGTATCTGGTAAAAGAAAAAAAAAAAAAATCAAACAAGGAAAATAAGTATAGTTTCATGAATACTCTATTTAAAATGACAACTTAGAGATACAGGTAAATTAAATAATTTATCAATATTACATATAGTTTCTAAATCAAGAAAATAATCACAGTAGCTTATATTAGCATTAATAGTCACACAAAAAATTTACTAGTTTTGTTTGTGTTTGGAGACAGAGTCTGACGATATAGACCAGGCTTACTTTAAAGTCACAGAGATCTGCCCACCTCTGCTTCCTGTGTGCTAGGAGTAAAGGCGTGTGCCATTATGCCTGGCAAAAATGCTTCTTACTGATATATAGAACATTTTAAACTCTTAAAAGGAAAAGGTAGTATCACATATTGGGGAAATGGGCAGGGATAACTTGAAATTGAACCCAAAGTCTCAAATATGCTAAGCACTTACTCTACTACTGAGCTATAACTCCAGAATTCTTGCTCCTTAAGGAAAGAAAAAGAAAAAAGAAAAGAAAAAGCCTGTTTTATAACTGTTAGAAACTTCAATTTTAAGCCAGGCATGGTAGCACATGCCTTCAACCCTAGCAGAGGCAGGCAGATCTCTGAGTTTGAGGCCAACCTTGTCTACAAAGCGAGTTTGAGAGTTTGAGAGTTTGAAGATAGCCAGAGCTACACAGAGAAACCCTGTCACAAATAAAACAAAACAAACCAAATTTTTCTGTGTAATTTCTATGTGACAAATGCACAGGGCAATTATCTACACTACATGGAATAAACAAATTCCTTGCAAGGTGGGAAAAGGTACATCTTTTAAAGTACCAACAGAAACTCAAGTGGTAATTTCCCAAGAGCAGTTTTCAAATTGTTCCATGATAGCAGTGCTCACACAAGCTTTGACGCAAGAGCTGCTGGTCACTACTAAAGCCTGAAAATTCTGCTTTAATTTGGAGAAGCCCTAACTTCAATTTTATTAAAAATTCTTAAGGTAACTACCTAGGATCCAAGATTAATAGTTGCTACTCTTAAGTATTACCAGAAAAAAAAAAAAAAAAAAAAATATATATATATATATAGAAAAGCCACTGAAGTTTAATGTAAAATAATGTCTATATTTTATAGTATTTGAAACTCTCCATTTCTAAGAGATGCTGAAGTTTACTCTATTATAATACAGTTAGCTAATACAGAGTTTTATGTAATGTACTCACATGATTCATCCTGTAAGGGAACTCCTTTGGAAAGGCGTATGAAAACCTAGTTTTTACTACAGGAAGCAAAACAAAACAATTAAAGCCAAGAAGATGCCATTGTCAATTCATCCAAATTTCCTTTAATATAGTCTAAAATATTAGAAGGTATGCTATATTACCTTCAGTAGGGGCTCTCAGAAATACCTAAAAAGTTCTAGAGCTTTGTTTTCAGGGAGGGCAAAGATTGGATGGTAGAAAGCTCACTTTCCTATATGATTGTAGAGCCTTAATTGTATAACAACAACAACAACAAAAAAGGGTTCATGTTAGAATGATGACATGTGCTTGCACTCATAGCTCCTGGGAGCATAGGCAAGAAAGGGAAAGGGAAAAGAAGGGCAAGATGGAAAAGTTAGGAAAATACACCAAAAAGCTAGCAGTAATTATCTGAGGTTAAAAAAAATTATGTTTTAACTAACTGATACATTCAGAACTTATAGATCAAGGCTGGCCTCTGCCTTGTGCTAGTATCAAAGGTATACACAACCACACCTTGTCAAAAGCAAATACTTTAAATAAAAGTGTCATTATATGTGCAAAGTCCTTAGCTGATTTTCTTCTACTACACAGTTACTATTTGCACTCACTAATAAAGTGCAAATGAAAACCCATTCTTAACTATCTCAAAAGTCATGAGTTATATATAGTTAAGTATTATTGAGAAAATTGTATTTAAGTCATTAGGCTACAATACTTAAACCAATGAGGGTATCAACTGGCAGCTCTAACAGCTTTGGTTTAGCATTATTCCCACTGATACAAGTGACTTCCTTCATTCAAAGAAAGAATTCTGTGCATTTTATGTATTACATTTTCAAAAAGGGTATTTCATAAACTAGACACTCTACAATGAATTTAGGTAACATCTGCCCAGATCTCAAACCTTGAACTGTTGAAACTTGCCCTTAGGAAATTCACATTCTTTCCCTCCTCCTGAAGCTGTGTCCATGAAAGCCTCTGGGCTTTACAATCCCTTTACTGTAAGCAGGGTACGAAGTGTACAGATAAAGCAGTTTCCGGCTAATGGCAGAGCCTCAGTGAGGTAAAGCCATGTCTGTCCAGGACCCACACAGTGGTGCACGCCTTTAACCCAGCACCCTGTCTACGTACTCAGATCCTGTTTGTACACTGATAAACGTCACTAACCCCTGGACTTAAACATCTAACACCTCCACTGGGATTAGATTCACATCGTGCTGTCAGCTCCTATTCCGCTTCATGGTAAAATGATCCACTTTTTTTTATTTTGGATGTTAGAGACAGGGTACTGAGACTTGATCTCAAAACAACAAAAACCAAAATGTCATAAAGAATGAAGAAATTGGGGAGAGATATAGGAGAAGGGAGTGAAGGGGGGATTAGGAGGGGCTGAGCAAGTGGGCTACAGCTGGGATACAAAGTAAATAAACTGTAATTAATAAAAAATAAATAAATTAAAAACAAAAAAATACAGAAACTTTTTTAGAGATACTCTGATGTAGCCCAAACTCACTATGTAGGTGAGACTAGCCTTAAACTTCTTAATCCTTTATATCCACCTCCTAAACACCTCCTATGCTAATAGAGATTCTTTGGAACAGTAATAAATTCACCTACATGTGGTTCATAAAAAAACAAAACAAAAAATCTGTTACAGAGCTTATTTCAGATTTCATTCTTAAAGCAGAATACACATTTTGCACTTACATACAGAAGTAGTAGCAGCGATCAATCTTGTATTTGAGACAACACCAAACTCCTATTGAAAAGTGAAAGAGATCAAGTACTTATTACCCAAAAATCCACTAAAGGTATCTGATATCTATTCAAAACAGTATTTCCAAGTTCTTCTCAAATTTATAGTCTATTCAGTTTCTACCTACTTAACCTACGAAATATTAAGGTTTCCAAATGTACTACATTTCCTTAAAATTTCATTAATTTGGGTTGGAGATCCAACTCAGTGGTATACTGCCGGCCTGCCAAGAATGTGCAGGGTCCTGCTTCAGTCCTTAGCTCACTTAATTAATCAGTCATCCAGTCAGTAAAGAAATGCTGACATTACTCAGAAGACCATGCAAACACCAACCTTCCTAAAGGACGGAACAGTTACAATGGAGTACAAGGCTTTTAGGTAATTTATCATTTCTTTTTCAACCTAATATAGTACCACTATAAAATAACTAAAATTTACTATGTAAGGTACTGTAAATGCACTCTTACTTAATTTCAGAAAAACACTTGAGATTTCTAAACCATTTACTTCCTTTTAAAGTAGAAAAAGCAAAAATCGGTCCTGTATTTAACATATTAAAAACTATTCATATACCTTCTATTAAAACTAGGTAATCTATAACTTTATAACTATGTGCATATGTATAAATATGCATGTAAACATGAATTTACACTTCATGAATTTAAACTACATGAATTTAATTTACACTACATGAATTTAAACTTCAAGAAACCTAGTCAGTAAAACTAAAAATTAAAAGCTGGAGATAATACGCTAAACATGACCTTGTACAACAATTTCTATTCAATTAGAAAACAGAAACTTTTGGTCATAGTTAAAGATAAAATGTAATGCAACATAATGAGAGGGGGGAATGAAGGAACTATCTACAACTACCTGCTGGCACAAGGAAAACCTGTTTTTCCAATGGAGTGACGCTGATATATCGACTACAGTCTACGGCAGGCCCGGTGCGGAGGAGTAGCTGGCCAACACAAAATCAACTCCCTGGCTTTTATTGTGGCTTTTTTTTTTTTTTCTTTTTTTGCAGACTTTTTGTTTCTTACTGGTTTTTTGTTCATTTTGATTTTTGTTTTATGTTTTTGGTTCTGCTTTGTTTGAGAGGGAGAGTGGTTAGGGACGAGGATCTGGGAGAAGTTTGGGGCGAGGGGAAAACATGATCAAATATAGTGCATAAAATTTTTTTAAGGATAAAAAGTAATTCAACAACCAAACCTGAAAATATACCTCACCTACAAAGAACCTTTACACACTCAGGCCTACAGACTAAAACCAGGCCTCGTGGAAACTGGGTAGGCTCTCTATATATGAGACTTCCACAACTAGATTTATCAAATTTTATCTTGTGTTAACACAAGTTTCTAGGAAGGGTTTTAGCATTTCTAATTAGTCAATTTTGTTTAGGAGATAATTTAAAAAGATGTCATGAATGGTTCTCAATCAAAATGAACACAAAAGAAATATAAACCTACTAGGCTAAATTCGTATGGATACAATTACTATTCTAAAGATATTACCTAAGAATAAAAAGAACAGACTAGGGACTGTGTGATTAGTTACGAAAAACAGCCAGTTCTCAGAATCTGTTACTATTTGTGTTTTGGCTGAAAGATAAACTTTCTCAACAATACTACAATCCAGTTGCTGGTCCAAGTCCTTATTTGTCTTCTCTCCTACCTACCTGTTCTGCTCCCACTGTCCACACGTTTCCTCCTAGAGTCTACAGAGCCTTTCCTAATCTTTGCCCACCCATTCACTCTCCCCCTACAGCTTGTTACCAGAGAAGACAGGAGTAAATAAAAAGCATAGGGGTGAGGAGCAGCTACATTCTCATGCTAATGTAGAGAAGCTCTGGTACTTAACACAACTTAGCACCACACAATGTCTTTTTTTTTTTTGTTTCAAAACAGTCTCACTATGTAGCTCTGGCTGTCCTAGAACTCAGAACTTACTTTGTCATTCAGGGTGGCCTTGAACTCAGAGATCTGGCTGCCTCTCCCTCCCAGGTGCCTGGATTAAAGGCATGTCAGCACACTAAGCAATGTCTTTAAAAGACAGCAAAGTAATTAAGTTATAAGATGGAGATCTAGACTATGAGGACCCAAGAACTAGCTCTGCCTCTGACTAAGTGTATGACTGTTTTCTCTCCATGCCCTAGCTTCCTTTTATAAAATGGGGATGTTAGTGTTACAGCTCTGAGGGGAAAGGCTTCACCATGGAGGTGGTGCAGCTCTGACTGGGAAAGCTCCCTCATGGGAAGTGTTACATCTCTGAGGGAGAAGGTTCCCCCAGTGTTGCAACTCTGACAGGAAAGGCATCCTGGTAGCCAGGAGCCAAGCAATACCATGGGAGTCACATCGAATGAGAAACCTCACACAGGGCTGGAGAGATGACTCAGCGGTAAAGAGCACTGGCTGCTCTTCCAGAGACCCCGAGTTCAATTCCCAGCAACCACATGGTGGCTCACAACCATCTGTAATGGAATCTGATTTCCTCTTCTGGTGTGCATGAGAACAGAGCACTTGTATACATAACATAAATGAATAAATCTTTAAGGAAAAGAAAAAGAAACTTCACACAAGAGATTTGTTGGGAAAAACAAGAGAAGATGGTTGCCTTTGCTTGGGTGAAAAGCAGCAGGGACCTGAGCAGAAGGCAGGCTTTATATAGGGTTTCTGGGGGAAAGGGGTGCTTTCTAGAGTGGCATGGTATTGGTGGGATTTTTGTGGCCTGGTCTTGGGGCAAGCTCAAGGATTGGTGGGTTTCTTTTTCTTGACCTTGGTCTCCAGCTTGGGCTCATCTCAGGGTCAGGGTGTTCTTTCCTTGGGCCTTCTATTCTACAGGGATACTACTGCTGTATACTCCACAGTTACAGGATTAAATTAGAATTTGTAAAGCATCTCATTAAATCACTTGATACACAGTAACTGCCATATTTATTACATAAAAATACTTGCAAGATGTGTATATTATTTTGTATAAATTACCAGCTATGATTATCCATACAAAGACAATGTTAAAAAAAAAAAGATTAACCATACATAGTAATTATTCTTTGACAAAAACCAGAAAATTGTTTTGTACCTCTACTTTGGACGCCAGAAACACACATGTAGGAGCCATTAACACAGGATCTATACTTTTCAGAGAATACCTAAAATGATTAGACAAGAGTTAAATGATGACTGTTTGGGGAACACACTGGGGGTAGGGAGAATCGTAACTCTACAGCAAACAAGTAATTTATTCATATATGGTACATAGAAATTAGGAAAGAATTTCAGCCAGGGATAAAACAAACAAACAAAGAAAGAAACAAACCAGCCATACCTGGCATAGAATCTCTTAAAATAGACCGTAGCAGTAGCAATAACTTGTTGTCTTAATTTAAGATGTTCACCTAATGCTTGGATAACTAAAGAGGAAATAATAAAATTTACATATATCATTTGGCATCACTAATAACACTAATATATAACTGTTAACAGTAATTTCTATGTTGAAATGCTGAGCATTCATACTTCGGCACACTCAGACATCTCCAAACCACAGCAGATTAAGTCGTGCAGATGTGGCAATATGCATAAACAAGAAAAAGAAACTGCCCAGGACTTATACTTGCAATAAAGAAGTACAATATCAAATATTCTTCCTTTGCTACATATTTTAATGCTTTTCATATTAAGATAGCTTTAAAGAGTAAGATAATGTCATTTTACCATGAAATCTGTAGGTAACCTTTGATACAAGAGAAAGGTAGATTTGCAGAGAGTGACAGAGTTAAAGACCAAGTGACAGGACTGGAGATATGGCTAAGGAGTTGAAAGCACTATCTACTCTTTCAGAAGATGGGGATTCCATTCCTAACACCCACATGGTGACTTAAACCCATCTGTAACTCAAATCTTCTTAGTACCATATACAGCATATAGTGCACAGATACAAGCAAAATACCCACACACATAATACAACAAAACAAACAACCCCAAACAGGCAACAATGCTATCCCAGACACAGTAAAGGTCTCTTGACTAAATCTTCTTGCTAATGCAAAGATATAAGGTAAAAATGACAACTATAAGATGTGTTTCCTAGAACGCTAAAACGATAAATGTATAAATAAAAGCCTTAACTGCAGACTGTAACAATCCATTGAAAATTACCACACAAAAAAGCGTCAAAGGCGACCAGCTATACTATACTACTTCAACCAATTTAAAAGTTTACCGTTTGTAAAAAATATCTGTAATTTCCAATACTCTTCTTCTGAGAGAAACTTTAAGTCCTTCTGGCGCTCTTTCAACAGATCTTGTTTATCCAAAATCCACTGCAAACTAAAAAATGTAAAGATGTTAAAGCATAGTATAAAAAGCCAACAAGCAAAGCACCTAAAACACTAGGATTCAACAAGCTGGTCATATTCAAAGAGGGATGGGTTTTTTGTTTGTTTGTTTGTTTTTCAAATCAGGGCTTCTCTGTGTAGCCCTGGCTGACCTGGATCTGTAGATCAGACTGGCCTCAATCTCAGAGAGGTCAGCTCCTCCCAATCACCACCAAATGCCAGGATTGAAGGCATGTAGCAGTACACCCAGCTTCTTCTTTTTGTCTGGCTAGGAAAGTAGCACAGAGGCAGAGAGAGCGGTAGCTTACCTCTGAAACTCCAGCATTAATTCTTCTAAAGAGGTCTCTAAAATATTGCATAAACTATATTCAACAATAAAATGCTTGAGTTCTTCAATATATGCTCACCTATTTCAAGTAAATCCTGCCTCAGAGGAAATTTTCCTTCTTTTTAATGAAATAGCTTTTTCAATCAGCATTTTCAGCATCACCCCAAAGTTTCACAGTCTTGTTGGGCCAATGTCATTCCTTTAGCTTTTGATGCTTTTTTGTGCCTGCTGTGCTGACTATCTTCAAATAATCCTGGGTCAGTCTGCTTGACTCCCATTCTGTCTGGCCCATGAATGAGAATGCTGTGGACTCCATTCTAAACCCTCAGGTAAGCTTGTCATCAGATTTCTGTAGCTTTTCAGCAGCCCACCTGAAGCCTCAGCAAGATGTTTTGAGGAAGAAACAGGAGAACTTGAGGGTATAGAAATCTCTTGATGTTTTCAAAGATTCTCTACCTCTTTCTGATTTCCTTCATACATTTGTACAAGCACCAGCACACAGGTTCTCAGACCCTTTATTGGTGTCAAAGAGAGACTCTTTCTTAAAACATACTTATTATTGTCTGTCCCAGTATCACACCACTGAGACAGACAATCAAAGCAGTATCTGAGTACCAGGATTAAGTACAGGCCCAAAGCTAATCCCTCCTTTTTGGCTCACTCAGTCTAGGAGTTGGCAAATGGTGGCACAAGCCTCTAATCCCAGCACTTGGGAGGCAGAGGCAAAAGGATCTCTGTAAATTTGAGGCCAGCCTGGTCTCCAGAGTGAGCTCTAGGACAGCCAAGGCTACAAAGAGAAACTCTGTCTGGAGAAGAAAAATAAAAAGGTCAGTGTAGGCATAAAGCAGAGCTAGGAAGCAGCAGGTAGAAACAAGCGCCATTCACTCCTCCCCTCAAAGTAAATAAATATTAAATCTGCAAGTAAGACGAAAGACAAGAAATTATAATGCCACTGCTATGAACAAAACCAGCCAAAGCAAGCCATACCCGTCCGGAACAGGCAACCTGAGAGAGCTACAATGGGCTAGTTTCTCTTGCCTGTGCCCACATCATCCCACCTACCTAACCCCCAAATTCGAAATGAAACCGCCTCAGTCTTTCATCCCGGGGACCGGACCTCTTACCTCTTTCTTACCCATCCTTGGAGCTCACCTCCCCTCAGCCCTCGAAATCCTGGGCGAAGAGGGGTGGCCGGCAAACAAGTGCACTACGCTCCGGACCCGCGGCTTCTCAGGGAGGCTCACCCGCACTCCAACAGCGGCCAGGATGGAATCTCCAAGGGAATGGCAGGCCCAGTCCTCCCCGTGCTCCAGAACCCCGTCCCACGCGAGAAAATGGACGCTCACTTACTAGTGGGAGCTCTGCCAGAAGTTCCCTGCCATGGAATACTGCTTGCCCTGAGACAGAGGCACCGGCCGGCAGCGCGGCCAGCGGAGCGCCCGTAGACCCAGTCCAAGCCGCGGTGCTCCTCACCCACACCGGCCGGACTGAACTCCACGGCAACCGCGGCCAGAGGAAGGGAGCAGCACGCTCGTCGCCTTGACACCGGTCGACAACAACTGCGCTGCGCTCCCCGGTTCCGGCTGACAAAAGTTCCGGCCCTCCCTGCGAGCGGAGGGAGCCGGCGAACCACTGGACTGCCAAGGGGCGTGTTGAGGCGGGTGACCGGAAGGAGAGGAGGCAGAGGCGGGGCCTCCGGGAGCGAGATTTCCTGCCAGGTACGCCCTGTGGCCGGCACGGCGTGGTCTGCCGCTCTGGTGCGGTCTGCTTGCCTGCTTGCTTGTTAATCTGCCCTGTCTAGGCCCTCAGAAACATCGCTCCGGCATTTGTAAGAAAGCAGGACGTCACACGGCTTCTCTTTCCCCTGGGATTGAAAGAGGACATACATGAAGACAATTTTGGCGTGACGGTCTAAGTGCTCTTGGTGAAGTTGCTGCCGGCTTTAAGCCTGAAGTGTTAACAGGTTTTAGTATGGCAAGTGTGGACTTTTTAGAGCAGCAGTCTTTTCATGTCGGACACAAAAACATGTATGAGCAAGGATGCATATCTAGCTACACTAAATAATACTTAGTATCTAGTAATCTAGTGTCATTGTTACATTCCCCCTAGTACTGCAGCGGCTGAGACAGGAACCTTAGGAGTTTCCGGCTAGCCCTTGCTCCATGCTGAGACCCTGGCCGGGAGTAAGGGGAGTGGGTCTAGAGGCTAGCCCAATCGGTTATGTGCTCGGGAGCGCCCCAGAAGCCCTGGGTAAATTCCCAGGACTACATAGACCCTGGAACAGTGAGAGCATTTGTCCTCCACACCGTTTTAGGCCAGACCAGGACTGTATACCATTTCCACTGAATGGTAAGGCGGTTCATCCTCTGCTACATCATTTTAGGCCAGCCTAAGAGACGTGAGAACCTGTCTACATTTTTAAAGTTTTAATTTAAGTTAAAAATGTTTCAATGATTAGACACACCTGAAAATTACTCAAGAATTCTAAGGCAGATAACACAAATGTTTCTTCCTTGTGGGTGGAGACCAACTGAGTTGTGGAACTGAATGAAAACTATTTTTATAAGTGAAACTAGTGTGCCAGCTTTAGAAAAGATGTTTTAAAATTCGATCCACTTGTGCACACACACATTTAACCTATGAAGTACATTTATTAATGAATTTGGATGAGCTAGACTGGTTATATTGTCATGACATCTCCCTATTTTCACCCCAAATACTCCCAGCTTTGCATAAAAATGCATGTTACGGGCTGGAAAGATGGTTCAGTGGTTAAGCGCTGGCTGCTGTTCCAGAGGACTGGGGTTCAATCTCCAGCATCCACCTGACAGCTCTCAACCGTCTGTAAATCCAGTTCCAAGGGATATTAGACCTCTCAGAGACTTACATACATATAGGCAAAACTTCTATGCATATAAAATAAAGAAATCTTTAAAATAATCATGTCATGCTCATCAGGTTCCCTAAAGCTGGCTAATTCTTCTTCATGGTTGCCCTCTAGGCCTTCAGAGAACTAGGGTGTTTCTATCTTCCAAGTGTTCATCTCAAGTTTTCTTGCTTCCAAAACTAAATTTTTTTTGGATAGAACATAGAGGACTCAAACTAGCCTTTGAATTAACTAGCATTAAGAGTCTTGAAATATTGGGGAGAATAGGGTTGGGGGAGGTGAGAGGGCTGGGAACAAGAAGGGAAACTCAGGGGGGACATCTTTTTGTCAAGCTGGAGGCCTGCGGCTGGTTAGGCTTCTGGGAGGGCATGGGTGTGACTCTAGCTGAGAGTCCTAACAGGGACAGGAGGACATGAAGACTGAAGTGACCATCTCCTAGCCAGGTAGGACTAGTGGAGGGAGGGGATCAACACTCCCCCTACAAAACCTGTGATCCAAAAGTTACCCTGCATACAAGAAGTGCAGGGATAACGAGGGAACAAAGACTGAGGGAAAGTCCAACTAATGAACTGGCCCAACCTGAGACCCACCCCACGGTAGAGAGGCAGCCCCTGACACTATTAATGATGATCTGCTATGCTTGCAGATAGGAACCAAACTTGACTGTCCTCTGGGAGGCTCCAGCCAGCAGCAGATTGAGACAGAAGCTGGGACTCACAGCCAATCATTGGGCAGAGCTCCGGGGATCCTGTGGAAGTGTTGGGGTAAAGATGGAAGGACCCGGAGGGGACAGGAACATTACAAGAAGACCAACAGAGACACCTAACCCAGTCCCACGGGGGCTTTCAGAGACTGAGACATCAACTAAGAATCATGCATGGTCTGGACCTAGGCCCTTGCACAGACATAGCTGGGAGGCCGCTTGGTCTTCATATGGGTTGCCTAGTTAGTAGAGGGGGAGAGGGGCTGTTTATAACACAGACTCTATTGCATGCTTTTGGATAACTTCTTCCTGGCAGGGCTGCCTGGCCTGGCCTCAGGGAATGAAGAGATGCTCAGTCCTGACATGACTTGATGTGCTGGGGAAGGTCCATACGGGCAGGAGGAGGGAAGCCCTCCTTTTGTGGGGGGAAAGGGAGAGAGAAAATGGGAAGGGGGAAGAGGGGACTTGGAGGAGATGAGGGAGGGGCACCCTTGGGATATAAAATAAATTAAAAAAATAAAATAAAAATAAAAAATCCGTACACAAAAGAGTCTTGAAATAGAAACAACACAATCAATTCTCACAACCTACTGGCTAGAATACCACCTGCATGACTCCAACTTAACTGCCAAGGAGCCTGAAAAATGTTGAGGAGCCTGAAAAATGCTGAGGAGCATGCAAACACTACTGCCTGTCTCAATGCGGATCATATTTTTTTAAAAAGTGTTTTTAAAACACTGTCATCACCTCAGACATGAACTACATCATAAAAGTTTAAAATTTCTTCAACTCTCTTTTTTTTTTCCTTTTTGTTTTGTCAGCCTTGCATATGAATTCTGTAACAAACTCCTATTACCAATATTTTATGTGATCCTATGACATTATTTTTCATTTTCTGTTTTAGACAGGATCCCGCTATGTAGCTCTGGCTATCCTGGAACTCATATATAGACCAATCTGGCCTCAAACTCACAGGGTTCTGCCTACCTTTTCTTCATGAGTGCTGGGATTAAAAGTGTGAACGACCACACCCAGCTTCAATAGCACTTTAAAAATGGGTCGGCAGGGCTGCACGCCTTTAATCCCAGCACTCAGGAGAGAGAGGCAGGCCGATATCTGAGTTCAAAGCCAGCCTGCTCTACAGAATGAGTTTCAGAATAGCCAAGGCTGCACAAATGAGCCCTGTCTTAAAAAACCAACAAACAAGCAAACAAACAAACAAATGTATCCCGAGCTGGCCTGGAACTCACTGTGAAGTCAACCTGTCTGATCTGCTTCTCTGTTGCTGAGATGAAACACTGACCAAATGCAACTCGGGGAAGGAAAGGGTTTGTTTCACGTTACAGGCCATCAAGGCAGCCAGGGCAGAAATACAGAGGCAGAGACCAAAGCAGAGACTTCTTACTGCCTTGCTTCACCCTGGTTTCCTCACCTTCCTTTCTTCTATACCCCAACCCATCCTCCCCAGCCCCGGGAGGGTGCCCTGCACACTGGGCTGGGCCTTCTGCCAATCAGCAATCAAGAAAATGCCTCACAGATAAGCACACAAGCCAGTCTGATGGAGGTAATTCCTCAGTTGAGATTCCAGGTTTGTGTCAAGCTGACAACTGATACCATCAACGACGATATGTTTCTGCCTGTGCCCACTGAGTGCTCAGATTGCGGGTTTGTACTGAAATGCCTGTCCTAGGCACTCCACTTACATCTCCTTCATTCCACTGCCTGACATTTACATCTGCTTTATGTCTGTGCCTCGCACTTTCTCACAATTCAGCTTCTCCATATTTGTACCTTCCTTATTAAGAACATAACACATGGGGCTGGAGAGATGGCTCAGAGGTTAAGAGAACAGACTGTTCTACCAAAGGTCCTGAGTTCGATTCCCAGCAACCACATGGTGGCACACAACCATTTATAGTGATATCTGGTGCTCTCTTCTGGCGTGCAGGCACACATGGAGGCAGAACACTGTATAAATAATAAATAAATATTTAAAAAGAACATAACACATAATGATAGGCATAGCACAGATTGATATTTGTGGGGTCTTGATTGTTTTTAAGGTGTATATGTGTGTCAAGGAAAGGGCTTGTATCTCCTGGAGTTACAGGCAGTTGTGAGCTTCCCAAGTGGGTAAAGAATTGGTAATCAAACTCAGCCTGTCTTCTGCAAGAAGAGCTGCAAGTGCTCTGAACCACTGAGCCAGAACTTCAGCCCATATACTGACATTTGAATATAACTCTCACATAATTGGGGGGGGGGTGCTTTAATATAATAACATGGATACAAAATCAGGTTAAAATGTGAATGCAAAAAGAAACTATAACACATTATTAGAGCCATGAAAGACCAGGTGCCTTTCTTCTTTTACATGGCTTAACAACAAAAACTATCTGAGCTCTGCAGTAAATCGACGTTGAGTGTACTCCAGAAATGTAGGTTGAGTTTTGAATCAAAAGCTAATATTCCTCTGTTTTGACAATCTCAGGCTTGTCTCAAACTCACAGAGATACTGCCTCTGCCTCCCCAGGTGCTGGGATTGAAGGCATATGCCACCACCTCAGCTCATTGTCTTCATTTGGTTTCCCTTCTTCTTTCAGAGGATTTATTTTATTTTGGTGACCAGTGTTCTTTGTTTTGTTTTTGTTTTGAGACAGGGTTTCTCTGTGTACCCCTGGCTGTCCCAGAACTTACTCTGTAGACCAGCTGACCTCAAACTCTGAGATCCAACTGTCTCCACCACCACGCAGCAATGGCCTACTGATTATAATTAGGATTGCCTCCTTAAACACGGGAAAGGAGGTTAATTAACTGGAGCATGGGCAATTACCCATCTGCACACAACTGAGGAAAATGTCTTTGCCTCCACCCAGCAACAATTAGCTGCTAATAACTCCTCATAAAGGGGTGGAGCTTCATGAGCCCCTCCCCTATCCATGACGGGATGGGCCCT